GATTCGTATTAAGTTTTGAAACAAAAGACCTATTACCGCATGCAATAGCTAGTAAAGTAAGACAAATCTTATCTATTTCACATTGCTCTTACAACATAAGATATGCTAGCAGAGATAAGTTAATGTCAAAGACACGCGACTGTGTCTTCCTCTATTTTTAGTACAGAGTATATCTGTTTGTAGATGAATTTTTAATGACGCAATCCAGGTCAGTGCTGTGAAGGTTCTATTTGAGGTCAGTACTGAGGGGTGGCCGTTGGGGTGAGTGTAGTGCGTAAGCGATTGCAGCCTGGTACGCATTTAAATGTTGTATGAGCTATTTTTGAAATATGCAATATGAAAATAGAACTAGCAAGCTTAAGTGATAGGACATGTTTGCGTATTTGGTTTAGATCGAAATTCAAGTATCATAATGCTGGATTTGTTGCAAATTATTTGTTAAAATCTAAAAACGAAAATTAAACACCGAAAACAGCGACAAGAATTAGTATTTAAAAGCATAAATTTAAACAATTAACACACTGACGCGGACGAATAATTATTATTTGCTCGCAACAACGTGTTAATTCATTAGAATTTTAAATATATTTAATTCTAATCAATCAATGTACAACATGAAAAAAGATGTATTCATTCAAATTGTAACATAACCTTTATACTGAAAATGTTGTACAAAGTTTAACACATGATTTATTTAACTTTGAAATCAAAATGATCATAGATTGATTGGAAACCTAATTTTAAAAATAAAAACCTAATAATAAAAATAAACAATACACGTATTGTAACACTGTATAATCAAAGTTTTTGAACCAAACGTTTTTGAAAAATAAATTTAAATTAAATGGTCTTTTCGTGGCCGTTTTTTACATTTCTTTGATATCTAGCAATGTGACTAGTAATTGACTAATAGTATATATCCATTAATTAAAGTAATAAGACTTTTGGTGAACACGAACGACAACGTAATTCAATACAATTTTATTTTGCATTATTAATAAAATAAATAAATATATAGTAAATAAATATAATAATAAATTATAATTCACAACGTCTTATATTTTTTGACCCTGACATCTCGCGCCAAGGTCCGAAAAAATTTCCACGTTGCTATAAACGTTTTCGTGTTACAGGAATTATTGATGTACTCATTTGTTTATTTTTAAGTTAAAAATAATCTTTAGGTCCTGCTAAAGTACCTAAATATTATATCATTATTAAATAGTTCAAGGAGCTGCCATATATTTTCTAATGCAATGTATAGTAGTCATTTTATTTATTTATTTACTTCGATTCAATTATTTATTTTTACATTATTATTTATTTTAAATGCAGTTTACCTTTATGTACGTGAACATTTTGGTATTTGCAATCATTGCGGAAGTAAACGAAAGAGTTGCGAGAAATCAGGAAGGTAAATAACCAATAAACGTGTGCATATTGATAAATTCGAATTGTAATTAAAACAATTTTATGTGCCGTGTTTTTAAGTCAAAACAGACGATAGTTTGACAACTTTGAAGCTGAGACGCCAAACTTCTTAGTCATCAGATGAGTACTGTAAAGTACCTACTTGAAACTTCGGACATATAAAAGAAAACGCGATAACATACTTAAATTTGTTTATCTAGGATTAGTGTTAAATGTCACATAAAATGTGAATCGATGTAATGAAGATTTAACTGGAATTAAAGTGACCATCAAATGGATACACAAAGAGTAAGTTAACATTTTATATTATACACAAATTTAATTAAAGACTAATAATTTATGAATCACTAGCTTTCGCCCGCGACTCGATCCACGTGGAATAAAAAAAGCATCCTATGTGCTATTCCAGAATATCGTCTACATTTATAGCAATTTTCATAGAAATCCGTTTAGCCGTTTAGACTACAAACTCTAACAAACATCTATCCATTCATCTAAACTTTCGCATTTATAATATTAGTTTGATATGTTAGTATGCAGTTGCGACAAACTAGTTACGACATTCCTCACTTGATCGAACAACGAAACCATACAAATTGATATAAATTGCTCTCAATGAAACGATTTGAAATCCACTAGTACTTACTTGATCAAAGAATTCTCTATTGATGATTGGTACAAACTATCACTTCAAGTTTAGTGCAACTTGAAAATGTCTACTGTAGTGTGTAATAATTAATTTAAAAGTTCTATTATGAATGTTAATTGACCTGAATCATACTAATATTATAAAGAGGAAAGATTTTTATTTTTGTGTGTATTGAAATAACTGAAAAACTACTGGGCCGATTTCAAAAATTATTTCACCATTACAAAGGTAATTAATCTGTGAGTAACATAGCCTTTATCTTTTTTATTTTTTAATTTCATAGCGACGAAGTCACGAGCAACAGCTAGTCGTTAGGTATATATTATAGGTCGAATTATACCACCAGCTCACTATACGTCCCCACCGAGGGGCTCGAAGCCTACCCTAAAGTTAGGATGACTAGGCCATAGTCAACCACGCTGGCCCACTGCGGGTTGGTTGACTTCACACATATCTTTGAATTTCCTTGCCGATATGTGCAGGTTGCATCACGATGTTTTCCTTCGCCATAGTTACTTTAATTCTTTATAAGTATTGGAGTAACGTTATTACAGACACAGGTAGTAATGACCATAAAATAAAAAAATATGTAATTCTTTACTTTAGTATGTTTATCGGTTATAGATCTCAAGGTCATCAGATATACAGGTCTCGTCACTTCTGACAACTTAATAATTCTTCTTTATTTTAATAAAGCACTTTGAAATATCGTTCGCGAGAAAAACGTTTTGAAATGCAAATAACTGTTTATTCATTTATACTTAGGAATTATTACTAACATTATAAACGTGACATACATTGCAATTAATGTTATTACTATTATTAAAAGGTATAATAAATCTTAGATAATGTTTTACATAAAATATAGAAATCGCTGTGAGACTTATTGTTACGCACTTGTAATTTTAAAAATATGTTCTCTGACTAACAAGAGGGTATGTATGTAGTTCTGTGTGTATAGAATATATCAATTCGATCAAATTTCGAACTGATTTTGTAGTGTCATTTAATTTACATTTCCTGTAGTCTCATAAGGGTTACATTTTAATAAATAGTTGATAATAAAACATTAATCATAGTTAAAGGTAACCTTTTGTAATATAGCATACAAACCACAATGTTTAGTTTGGGCAGATTACAGAAAAAAAAACGTTATTTAGTTGTGGTATTCGTTATTTTTCTCTTATTTTGAGACGTATATTTATAACACAGATTCATATATGTATGAAATGAGAGAAAAACCCTGACTGCCGCAATGCATACGTAACTAGGGCGTAACTGAAGTATACATTGCATTGTATGTACCATTTTATTACCTTATCTGTATTGAATTTGATATAATTTGAGTTCATTTGTAGAGTTCGTGAAAATAGGAATTGCAATGATAAATTTCCTTATAACAGTGCGAAAAAAACAGTAAAAAACAAAAAGTGAAAGTCAAAACGTTTTGAACCCATGAAGAAAAATCATCCAAGTGTAACCATATTTGGATAAAATTTAAACTTCAAAAAGTTTAACCTTCACCCGATGGACTAACAAAGGCCTTATACTAAATGTTGATTAGGCCACTGTTTAACCGTTATTGCTTCTGCTGAAATATAAGTGGAAAGGTCGTTAATTACTCATTGTAAAACAGTTACAATACGTAATAAAGAAATAATGGCTAAAGAGTTTATCAATAAATACCAAGAAAATTGACGAAGGTGGTTTTTAAAGTCATGCCACATTTTTTACGAAATTGTCGAGTCCTTACTTAGTTATCTAAAATGTCAACACAAAACAATCGAATACATTAGAGAATTGTTAAGAAATTACTGCAGAATATCACATTATTATGAGAGGTTTGAGTTAGGTTTCTAAGTTTTTTTTTTTATTGGCATTATGATTTTGGTATGCATATCTTGTAGACGTCAAATTATTCATAGCTTTTTGCCATCAAATTGCGTATACAACATCAAGGAAGCCTTTTGTTTTCTTGTATGAAGTCAAGGTCGAATCCGAGTTAAGGTTACAAAAATTGCAAAACGTGACAACGCATGGTTCTGTGACAAATATTATTAATTTGTTAACTATTTGCTTCTGTGTTATTAAGCTCTAAAGTGGATGACTTTTTTAATGGTATGTATAGGTACTTGAATAACAGAAATGGTCGTTGTTTAACCAGTATTATCGAATATTTTAATTAGTTGACTATTTCCTACTTCACGATGGAATGCGATGCGGTTTGGCAATTATTTGCGATATTATTTTGTGAACATTCTGCATTAATTAATTTAAACATTTCATATTTATGCAATCAAATGCAAAGCAATATTTGTGAATGTTGTTATAAATAAAACAACAATATAGTCATTGATGGAAGTTAAGATAAAATGTAGTGATTAAAATATGACTCCAAAGTTTTGAGCATTAAGATAGTTATCATGTTTCTTAAAAATTTTTTCTTTCTTAAAAAGAAAACCGGAAAGCAAATGTTTTGTTGTTTTTTCTTATCACCTGTCAAACGACAACCACGTGTAGCGGAGATAAACGAACAAGCGCCGACGTCAAACGAAGTCACACGTAAATATAGTTTGGGACGAAACGAATGCGCCGCCGTACTTTGAAACTGCCGGCAAACATCACTGAGCGTACGTAACTATGAGATTGTTGCCAAATACTTTATAAACAATGTTTAAATACCATATCAAAAAAATAAGGATAAAGTGGAGCTAAATTATAAAAAAAAAAGTAAAAACCGACATAAGAACAACACGTACACGTACTATACTGAAAGACCGCGAAAATACAGCGTTAAAAAAAATGTAGAGCCGTTTGTTTCCTTGAGTAATTATTAGTGTTTATTTGCTTCGTTGCGTTCGCGACATTATATTAATAATTCGGCACATTATTGAGGATGTTATGATTGTTGCGTCCGTACCTGTTCCCCACCAATATTTCTTCCAGCCAACTGACACTGCGCGAAACATGGCGTTACGTGCGACGCAGACAGCGCGTGGCGGCCAACTGACTCACATTTCCGATGTCAAGCTCAATAGACTCCGTTTAGATTGTTTCAAATTCAAATTTCTAATTTCACCATTTTTTATTTTATTATTAGTTATATGTATGACAAAGGCAAAGATCTGGTGGTGCAACGGCATAAAATGATAGAGATGGTAATGAGGTTGAAGCACTCATTGCGAGGCGTGGTGTGAGGAGACGAGACTTACTTTTACGTCGTGGAAACCGACAAAGGGCTCTTAGCACCCTTGCACCCTGACTCAATTAATCTCTAATTAGAAGCGAGAGTGCTCTTAATGTTGAATGGAGGTGGATTTCACATCGGTGTCATTGAACTAAATGGAAATCTGACAGTTCGATGGGTGTCAGGTTAGATGAAATTCAGGTCAGTTGAGTACGCCACGTCCTATCCAGGTAATTGAATTTGTTGGTTATTTATTTAAATTAAACCCTTCATCTTCCTCTTATTAGATTTAGATTCATATTTTTTAGTAAAAACATGGTGTGTATTCCAAAAAATTTGGACACACGCTGAGTTATTGTTGAAATCTTTCTTTGGTTATTAGTATCAACATTCGGTTCTATTTGATAAGAATATTGGACAACTTTGTTTATTTTTTTTCGTTGGGAGTTCGGTAGACATTTTTGTCTACAGATACATAGTTAGTTTCTCATGACCATGATAATCTCCCTATCCTTAAAAGAAGTGCCTAGTCGATACTTTCGTCAGGATTTACGTCCTCCAAATCTTTATCTTCCATCATTTTAGTCGGAACGACGATTCCTTCTTCCGTCTTTCGCTTTTATCATATTGACAGTTAAACTCCTAGGCTCATTTTAAGAATTCGCTGGTGCAAGATATCCATGGGTAATCTAATCCAATCCCTGTTCTATTTCTGTCATATTCTATTCTATTCTATATATTTTGTAGCAATATTTTATGTATTGTTGGATACACTTATTAGTTTGTAAGATTTCGATCATTTATACAATCTACTGGTATATTTTTGTGGTTATACCAAATAGTGGAAAATAACAACATACAATAATAAATTAGTCTACAAAAATAACGTGCAATAATACGAGCGATTAATTTATTCCGAATCGTTTTTGGCAACAAAAAATGTTATATGATATTTATCTTGTGAAATCACTATTTTTAATTTGATTTGTGGTTATATTATGCATGTATTAAAAATCAATGCCTTTTGAAATTATTGCTTTATTTAGCCAATTTTACTGTTCAAATAGTTGAATGATGGCGTTTCCTATATTTTTTATACAGCTGAAGGTCTCTTACAAGGATCGGTGCTAAGATAATACTTTTATTGTAGCTGTAGACACGAATTTCAATAAATAATTTTACTTATCTTTACTAATATTATAAAGAGGAAAGATTTGTATTTAAGTATGTATTGAAATAATCAAAAACTACTGGGCCTGTTTTAAAAATTCTTTCTCCGTTAGAAAAGTTAAAGATTAGTCTAAATAAAACAAAGAAAGGTAATTTATCTGTGAGTAACATAGGCTATATTTTTTAATTTCACTCGGGCGAAGTCGCAAGCAACAGCTATTATTATAAATACGAAAGTTTAGATGGATGGATGTTTGTTAGAGTTTGTAACCTAAACGTCTGAATGGATTTCAATGAAATTTGGTATGGATGTAGATGACAGTTTGGAAGAACACATAGGCTACTAACTTTTAATTCTACGCAAACAGAGTCACGGGCGATAGCTAGTTTCAAATAAAACACAACTATCCCACCTAAATGTCCCGACGACTAAATGCAAAAGGGAACTATTAAAACGAGTTTAAAATAATTTTATTTAATACATACCGTTCATCGGAAAATTACAAAGCTTTCGACATATATGCGCATAGAATTCATTTTATTTATACGAAAAATAACAAAAAAGTTATAAGTCAATAAGAAGCTAAATGTCGCTTTTATCCGGGCGGCTCTATCTAAATAGACTTGTAAGCATTTAGTGTGCTTCTACGATTCCCAACGACTGTCATTAGTGCAGCTTAAGTACGCTCCTAGTGTTCACTTAACACACGCCGTTTGAACGGGAACACTGGCTACAGCCTAATAAAATTATATTACAATTTCTAACTTCCAGCATACAGTTTTGTCTATAAAAAGTTTTTGTAAGAACGTGATATAAGCTTTGGTTTATTCGTTATCAGATTAAGTGCTTTCGTATTGTAGCTTAACATTTAGTTTATGAATAACAAAGATGTGCTTTTCATATAATAGGAAACCCTTCTTGGAGGCTCAAATTTATGTTACGGATGTACGAGTATTCGGATTTAGAAATAATGTGTTATGTTTTGTTTGTATTGATCTTGTTTTGTTATTACTTCATATAAAAAAGTATTCTCACAGTTATTCTGGTTATAGAATACTCGTAATTGCCCGCGACTCCGTCCGCGCGGAATGAAAAAAAAGTAGCCTATGTGTTCTTCCAGACTATGCTGTAAACCTGTTTCAAATTTCAGGGAGATCCGTTCAGACGTTTAGGCTACAAACGCTACCAAACATTCATCCATCCATCGTAACTTTCGCATTTATAATATTTATATGATATGGTTATTAAGATTAATTTATTATGTGCGTGACAAATAAAGCGTTTTAGATTATGTTATTTAATTGTTAGAGCTTGTATATTTGCTATTATAATTGTATTGGGAATTCGTCGAATCCTAAATGTTTAAAATTAGTTATTTGCCTTATTTAAATAGTTGGCATGATTTTCAAGTTGAAATTCACAACAGCGAAGATTAGAGTCACGATAAATATTTTCTAGTCGACTAAATATAAAGACGGTATTGTTCTTCTCGGTTAGTAATTTTCTCAACAAAGTAATTACAAAACATTCTTGTTATTTAAAATAATACCAATTTGATGTAAACTGTTAGGCGCTTAGCAGAGACTTTATAAACTACAAGTAACTGAAATATAGGGCGAAATTTTATTTATGTTACAGCAACAATCCAGTCCGTGACCAATAAACGTAGAGAAAGTTAGTCAATTTCCATTTTTCGTCATCCAGGAACACCATGTCGTCTTATTCACATTACATGCGGTTTTGTATTAATTTTTAATAGATTTTGAAAACACTAGAGATAAAAATTAATATTGTTTATAAGTTTAATTTTTAAAAGGGAATGTACGAAATGATGATATGTGTCAATACCATCAAAACCCACAGTTATACAGCAACTGCCTGCATTACTCGTATTTGTATAGCTGTTATTGTGCTATTTCAAACAGCAGGATTATTAGCGAGAGCTCCCGCTGCAGCCGTCTCTTTGTTTAGTTGTCTGGAAACTGTACACTGACTTAAATCTTCTTAGAGTATTGCCAGTAAGGATGTATTACTTTAGAGATTTAAACACGATGAGAACTACGAATTCTATATTTGTTTGATAGTTTATTTGAAATTTATTATATTACTAGCTTTTACCCAAGACATCGTCCTCGCGCAATTATATTCTATGTTACTCAGTCAAAATATAGCTTACAAATGGCAACATTTGGTTTCTATTAAGCATGCTCCTGGTAATCGACTATTATTTTCGTTTAGCTATGCTTATTCATTCTCAGGAGTCCTTTCCACCCTCATTAATTTCATTCACTTCTACAAAATAATAAATACAAAAGGTCCTTTCTTAAGTTAAGATCTGACCATAACAGAAAACTTAAATTTGTCAAAATTGCATTGTGGATGTGAATATGTAAAAATATTGCATCTTTTATGTTGCGAAAAATGTTTTAATACGCTTCAAAAGTTATGCAAAACAGGATTAATATAGCAATGTTGTCTCAACATAATCCAGCGGCAGTTCGACGACGGAGTTTCATAAAATTTGAATATGTTCATATTCAGCGAGTCTTCATGTATTTTAGTTAAGTAAATGAAATATACACTGCATGCATTACTTTTTAATAAAAGAATTATATATAAAACTATTAATTGTTTGAGATTAGAACAACCTATAACAAGTCAAAATTGAGGTTATTATATCATCAAATGTCGATTTAATTAACTCTATTCGAGCTACTGTAGCTAATAACTTATACAAACACGAAAGTCACATATAAAATACACCAAAGTTGTCCACAATGACCATGATACATACATAACATGTAGTTTGTTATTTTTTTGTCGAACAGATCCTCTGTTAATATGTACATAAATCCACTAAGAATTAAATTCATTATATATTAAATAAATCTTACTAACCTCACTAATATTATAAATGCGAAAGTTTGGATGGATGGATGGATAGGTGTTTATTAGAGTTTGTAGCCTAAACTACTAAATAGATCGTGATGAAATTTGACAAAGATTTAGAGGATAGTCTGGAAGAACACATAGGCTACTTGCTTTTGTTTTATTTTTTTTAATTCTACGCGGACGGAGTCGCGGGCGAAAGATAGTATTATAAATGAATATTTATTGTGCTCATACAATTAATTGAGATTTGACTTAGAACAAAATAAATTTGATCATTTTGTACGGGTAGCGCGGTGTGCGGTCATTATCGCTGTATCGCAGCCCAGTAATAGCTCGATTCGTATGCATGAAACACAAATAAGCAGCAATAAGCTCTTGGGAATAATAATGTAATTAGGAGCAATATTGAACACGTTCACCATATTGATAACGTACATATAGACTGCCGAATTAACAATATAACTATTTGCAGAATAAATAAATTAAACAAGTGCACACAAGTATCAACTTTTTTTAAAGCTTGCGTTGATGTTGCGGTTCAGAACGTCTTGATCCAGAGATTGGATCGGATGATCTTAAGCTTATTTTCAATAAGTAGATTACAAAATATATCACAATTTCTTAGTTCTATTTAAGTAACTTTTGAAGACTTTCCTTTTTCGTAAATGAACAATGAAGAAATTTTGGGTTGTCATTGAAATCCTTTGTAAAAGACACAATACGTTTAGTTTCACCCTAAATGTAATTCCGGTAAGATGTTTTGATATTATTAGACCTACAAAGCGTCGACAATGGCTCTATAAGTCCCACGCTGTGCCCTCTTCTCTTCAAACACACAATACTTATCCTTTTTCGTGACATATTGCGTTCTCTTTGTTCATTATCTTTGATTGTGGACGGCATTTATTAATATGAGTAAGTTATTAATATTATAAATGCGAAAGTTTAGATGGATGTTAGAATTTGTAGCCTGAACTGCTGAAAGGATTTCAATGGAATTTGGCATAGATGTAGTGATTAGTTGGTGAAACTCACTGGCTAATTGCTTTTGTTTTTTTTTTAAATTCCATGCTGACGGTGTCGTGGGCGAAAGCTAGATATTAGTAAAGCTAAGCTAAATATTGAGGCATAAAAATAAGTAGTAGATTAAACAAATTCTGACAATGGTTAATCATTCATTGTGCGGGAGAAAATAGTTCAGTTTTTGAATATTTTATGGGTGATATATGTATATCTAAGGAGCTTGTGCGGTATAGTGTCAGTACCAAATAAAGGGTGAGGGATTAATTGTAAAGTATAAAATAGTTTAACAGCCGCTAAATCCTTCGTAAGCGATAAGATAAGAAAGGGTCGGATACGGATGTACCATCATTATTAAATGACATTGCACGACTCTGCTTTACTATAGACCCAGTTTGTTTTGTGTAAATATAACTGTAATTTAAATTTTCTGTTAAAATTAAGAATAGAGGATCATATCTTGAAGACGTTTGATCAAGTTCAGTATGCTTACTTTAGTACAATTCGGTTGTAAGGTTTGCAAAACCTTTTATTTTTGCAGAACACATTTAACAAGTATTAGCTATTAAAATTTGTAAGGCACTTTCAATTTTACGAGGGTACACTTTTATTTGCCTGCGAGTTTACTGACCGCAATTCTAAGAAACAGCTGCACAGTCTATAGTCGGGCAGGCGTTTGTAAACACAGTGTGTGTCCGAGTTTCCTTTTGTCCTATGTACTAACTTCGCTTTGACAAAACTTCGACAAAGGCGAATGAGATAGCAAAAGGTGTCTTTCCTTAAATGCCCTCTGGTCTGCCTAATGAACTAGAATCAAATTTCGGTTAGAATAAGAATATACGGCTGTAATAGTTGTTACCCATGGATTATAAGTCATTTCTTTTCTTCTTTCTCTTGGCGTATTTATACAGTTATTCCGTTTTATTTATTTGAAAAATATTGCGTGTTACTTTTGTTAGGTTATACCAGATTAAACCTCCTACATAATTAGGACAATAAAGGATTGTTTTCTATCATTACAACCTACAGGTTTTAGTTTAATCATTGTAAAAAAAACAAGGTGTAGTCAAATGTCGTCGCTCTTATATTCGACCTTACTGAACTTATAAATAAAAAAATCAAGGATTTGGAAATTAACCGTTTATAGGAAGTTGTTCCTACATTAAAAAGATACCGTAGTCGTATAGTATAGGACATATGAATATCTCAAAGTATTTACTTTTTTCGGAGATGTATTTTATGTAATTGATTTTTTTTACAATTTTGCGGATCTGAATATAAAAACAAACAATAATGAAAATATATTTAATCAAAAATACAATTTTCAAGCTTAAAACATGATGCAATATTTAAAATCAAACTTATCCAATTTGATTGCCAAAAAAATTATTCCACTGTTAAGGTCCTTTCGTCTTTCTGTTATTTTATAATTCTTCTTCCAACTATCACGTCTCTTATTAAATCTGCCTGATTTAAGTTAAAATTTAATCATCATTCAAATCCTTGAAAATAAACAGTTGAGATTGTAAGATTGCAACAACCAAATTTATTAATATCATTATTTATTTGTTTTGCAACAAACACATTTCTTACGATTCGGCTTGTTTAGCGGAACGGGTGCCATTTATATACCATCCAAGGTCAGAATTAGTAAGGTTCTTCCAGTTTAACGATTTAATGTCCTTACCATCTGATGCTAATAAATTATTCGTCTATTTCAATAGCGAAATTTCGCCAACATCATTGCAACATTATTTGCAATTTAGTTGTGGCAATATTTATGTTTAAAAATGTCGTAGTTAAATAATATTTCACCTTTTTACATCCTTCTCTATTAATTTTATTAACACAAAAGATCATAAATCGAGTTAAACATGATTGAAATTTTCTTATTTCTGTTGTGAATATTTTTTTATTACTAGTTATTAGTAAAAGATTTATTTGCAATGTGATAAGTGTCTTCTTGTAAAAAAGCCTATATTTTTTTTACTTAAATAATTTTATTGTGAATACGAATATTCTAATATTCTCAGTTTAAATTGTTAATTTTGAAAGACAATAAAAAAGTTCCTAGACGCGAAAAACAAGAAAACAAGTAGTAAAATTAATAAAAATGGTTTATCATTCATTTTTCCTTTACTTTATGCTAAAGTCAAAGTATTAAGTGGGCAACACGTAGGCAATTAGTGCATAAATAATATTTTATTGTTAATAATCAATGTTTTTATCTACATTTAATGACAACCCATAAATAACATAGTTATGTTCTAACTTATACTTATTTTATCACATACCTATATTAATGAAGTGCAACATACTATAAAAAATTTCTAAACCATAAATGTTCATTTAATGTTCAATTTTTAATTATTTTAGGTTGCAACATTACACAAACATGTTAATTTGCCGTCTACTCTTGTGAATTTTATTCATTGTTTATTCTTTAATATCTTGTGATTCTATAAATACCTTTTAATAATTTTATTGTAATTATACTAAATTTTTACATCTATTCAGCGTAGCATTTTTTGTGTATGCTGACTTTGGAACTGACAATTGAAGTCTATTAAATAAATAACTCGGTGACGTCATCGAATATACAGTCTGTAGATTTGAAGACGTGTAGATTTTTTTATCTATCTCTTTAAGAGATCTCATGCAATCTCCTTGACACTTTTACTCTGACCCCAGAGTATGTCGATGACAAACCATTGTCCAGTATAGTAGAACAAGTGGCCAATAAACATATGGATCGTCAATACGAAAAATTTAAATGTCGTAAATGATTTCAGCCCTGGATAGACGTATTCTCCTTTCAATAAACTTGTCAGGCATCTGTTGACAGAATTAAAACATGTTATTATGTTACTAGCTTTCGCTCGTGACTCCGTCCGCGTGGTATAAAAAAAAAACAAAGTAAATAGCCTATGTGTTCTTCCAGATTATGCTCTGTGCGAAATTTCATCCAAATCCGTTTAGCCGTTTATGCTACAAACTCTAACAAACATCCATCCAAACTTTTACATTTATAATATGAAAAGTAAGATTAGTAACATTCCTCAGTCAAAATAGATTATTCAAAGACAAATAGTAATAATTATTATGTTATTTTACAGATGTTACGGCAATGAAAATCTACGGTTATTAACTGACAATTGTGACCTACAGGAGTTTCTCGAGTTTTAATCCATTTTAATGAGATATTTGTAAAGCAAGTAAGTAGTAGAGTAAGTTTTTTTCATTGCATATAACTAAAAAATAAACAGAGAATGACCATGGCTATGTAAGAACATGTCTTATATGTATGTTTGTAAAAACTATGTGTAACTAAATATATATTTCCGGCGCTAAATCTATTGAGAGATATAATATTTTTCTTACACTCAAACGTAGTTCTAAGAAATAAAACGAAACAAACACCTTGTGCAGACTTAACACACTTGGTTAAATACTGCATCATGTCTAAAACCTTTTTTATATTACTTTAGTTTATTTGCGTATTTATGAAGGTTAAGATATAAGTTAGTCAAAAATAAAGATTTTTACAACTGACTTTTATCTTCAAACCTTCAAAAGTATGCAAATAATAATATCATTTATACTAAGGGCTGTTTTAGTATATCGTTAAGTACTTATTAACTTGTAGTTAAAATAAAAAATATGTAAACTTACACGAAAATGTAGCTAGTCAGATATATGGATAGAAGTATTATACCCCATTTATATGTCTTTGGTCTTTGTCGAGGCACCAGTACTAAATCGAATATAACAAAGACCAGAGAAGCGGTGTGCATGCTGTGCTGTTCCCATACAGAAACGTACTTGTCGACAGACAGCGGCATCAATAGCTTTCTGTCCGTATTCCATAAGTTCCAAAATAGTACGTCTGCATACTGAAATGGTAGAAGAAATAATTGCAGACATTGACATTGCAGAAATAAGTGACGTGAGTGCATTTTGTACGCTTTTTTTTATAAGTCATTTAGCATTTTATGATATTCTAAATGATAACACAGTAACTTAATTACCTTAAAACTAAAAACATTAAAAGAACACATTACAAGACTAAATACTCGTGGAATCTGGTTGCACAAAAAAACGAAAAATAATCATATGTTATGGAGATTTTAAAGTTGATGTTTTGGTAACTAAAGTACTAAATTGTTAGTAAAGGAAAAATATTTGGTTAACTCATTCTTCTGTAACGTACCTCGAACTTCGAATCGGATTCGTAGAACCAAATCAGAGCTTTAATAAAGAATCATATTGGACTTACATAATTAGCGAAATAACGTTCTTAATACAGTTTACCTAAAGTTCAAAATAATACAGGAATGACACAATATATATAAAGAAAGACTGGACAATTTGTGAAGTTGCGAAATATTAAGTTTTAATTGTAGTAAAATTTAGTTGACCTTTGCATTCACAATTTGGCCTTGAACCACATTTTTATATTATGCAAATCGAGATATTCTTAATGAGGCATTTTTCACATTTAAAATGAATAAAAGGCCCACAAAATAGAACCATGTAGTTTAAACAACGCAAAATAACTGACGCCACTTTGTAAACACTTAGTAATAATGCTTCCTAAACATTTGTCATCGCATTAAGATAAATTCAATATGATTTCGAGATCGAATCGCAGAGTAATTTTTACATTAAACAAACTATTATTTGTGGTTTCTTTTCAATAAATTAGGTGAGAAAATATCCTCTTTGTATGCGTCCTCTTCCACGTCAAATCTGCTACCTTTTCTATCGTTTCCTTATAATGAAGATGGATGATATACGCACTCGTCAGATGTTTTGTCGGAATGACTTGTCACTTCACGCTTGTCTTCTGTGTGGTCGTGGTATTGAACCGTGCAATCGTACAACAGATGTTAGTGTTAGTGGCATCTACCACCGTTATTGCAATAAAATGTAGTGAAAAACATTACCAACGTAGCCGGCAAGATGAGATTTGTAAAGTAAAAGTCACGAATATTTTTCAATTTTTCTACGTTTGGCGGCACGGGGCGGTCGACTTTTCTTTTGAGTTCGCGCCAATCGCAGTACACGCAAATTGGAATGTACGGAATCGTCAAAATCTGAAATAAGAAAAAATCCTTTAGGACATTGCACAAACCGATGTAATTGTTTAAACTCTTTATTATTACTACGGTTAAGTTTGTTGTAGAATTGAAGAATGTAAAAATATTTAATAGTTAGTGTTTGTGAAAATATAGGAATGTAAACTAAAACACTATTTAATAGTTTATACTTTTGATACCCTTTTGATTTAGTTACCGTTAACAATGAAATGTTGACATTGAATTTAAATGAATGGAAATTTCTAAAGTTAATTTGCTTCTTTACCTATCAGGAAACCTTTGCATACGTAAAAAGAACTGAAAAATAAATTAGAATTTTGTTTCAAATAAGCAATTACCTAATTAATTGGTTCGATTATAATATTCAAATTGGCGTATGTTATACTAACCTTTGCTACTCGTTTGTGTTACGGGGCATTTTTATAATGAGTATTATGTGAATCGTACAGATTTTGATTTATATGTTATCTACACATGTTAGTGTAGTAGCCAGATTATCAGTTTATTTTCCCTCATATGTGAGTTAAGTGTGTGTACATTTCATTGTGATTACATCCTAAATGACTAAGATGATTTTTCTAATCGAGGCATATTACGATACGTTCTGTTAACCTAACTGATAGGAATATTTTTTTTATAATTTTAAAAATATATGTGTACATCATCCTTTTCTTAATATATTTTTAAATTGGTTTTTTCTTTTCTTAAAATAAATATTTTTTCATTTTACATCTGGCTGTTGACAGCCAATTAAAGTTAATTAAATGTAACAGAGGTATCTATGGTACCATAATTTCTATGATCTTGTACGATATTCCGTAGATTAGAAAAGAGATTTTTATTTAAAACAAGAATCATCCACTATTTCATTTCATCTTGTATTAAAATTACGTTCTTAACTAAAGTTACTTACCGTAAGGTAATTTCCTGAACCTATAGCAGAGATAATATTACAATAACCTCAAAAATGTCAAGTTTGGACTTGACCTTTTTTTACAAGTCTTTGAGCATATCGTAGTATACGGTGTAAGCGAATGTCATCGACAAGTTCATGATCGGTTTTTATCCTTTTTAAAGTTCATCATAAGCGTCAATGTCCTAATGGTTTCTACTGATCGGGAAGTCGTGGGTTCGATTGTGTTATTCATATACTGTATTACTAGCTTAAACTTGTGAGCGAAAATTGTTTGGGGAAAAGAAGATATTTTTAATTGACAATGATCTACTATTTATATTTCTGTTAAAATTGTGAAGTTAAGGAATTGCTATATCTAGATTTTATAATATAATAAAGCGTAAACACACACTTTTTTGTTGTCTAAGATGTCAGTAATTACAGCATATTTTTGAATAACTCTTTTTTTAATAAAAAGCCCTATACTTACGTTATGCTTTAGGATATATATTTTCACGCCATTAAACTTAGGGGGTAAATTTTTTGGATAAAATCCTGATGTGGGAAAGAGACCATAAGTTGCTAAAAACCATTCCAACAAACATCTCTGTTCATACTTTTTTATTAATTTTCAATTGTAAAGATTTTAATTAGAAACAATTAACACTAACAATAATATTTAAGAGTATAGTAGTACTTTGTATTTGATTATAAATGTTCTTTTCTCCATTTTTAAAATCTCAGTGAGGTTTTAAATTCTGAAAGTGTTTTCATAGAAGTAATTAAATGGTTTCTTTCACAAATTTACCGTTTCATGAAATTAATTTATTATAGCTCATGTTCAAAATATTAATAATTTACCAACGGATGGATATTTTCAGAGATGCGAAAATAATTTTATTTTTAGGAATGTGTAAAAGCAAAGCGAAACATTTATTGAAAATTACTTCTTTTCCATATTATTTATGCTATCAATTTTCACTGAAAATTAGTTAATGACGGTTTTTAATTTACGAATACGTTGTAATAAAGGGACTGAAAAAACTTACATTGAACCATGTTGTAATCAATTTCCACTTTAGAGTTAAATAAACTTTGAGATCTGGATCATTGGAAGTCGAAAAATCCTTGTTCAATAAAACCACAGACATTATATTGAGATGGGCGTACGTCAAACAGTACATAAACAATCTTGTTTTAAGGAATAGTCGACTATGTTTTAAAAAAACATTTTGCAAGTTAAACATTGTGGGACGCCACAGCACTGCCGCGGTTTACGTTTGCTTGTAAGAAATGCGTAAGAGGAACTCAGCGTAAGCTTTTGTAACCGACACATTTATGCTCCGTGTTGTGTAGAAACAATCCGGTTTATTCAGACTTTACTATATAAATATATGATTTTACTATTAAAATATAAAACAGAAAATGATATATTAAACGTGTTCAGGTTATAGAAGTAATATTATAATTAAAAATATTTCGATCAGTTAATTTCAAATTACGCGGCATTTAGGTTATGTTATTGTTTACACGCGCGCCGTCGGCCGTGAACGGCGACCAGCGAAATCGCGATTTGTTAATGAAATGCGAGATAAACAAGTTGCTCTCGAATATATTCGACGTTAGTCTGAGTGTAGACTGTGATGAAACATTTTTTTTCAAGGTGGCTTTTTACTTGCGCCTGCAGTTCTATGTTGAGAAAGTCATTGGTTAATTTTGAAGCAAGATTTACCTTACTATCGTAAACTAGGTAATATGAGTTTTGATAATTGAGTTGCCTCAGGATGTTTATTAATTTTTTAACAATTTGCATTGTATTTTGAAATAATCTTTATTGACATATCACATAAAGCCTATCAGTATTTACAGGAAATAATGGTTAATATTTTTCGGTATCTAAGAGTCACTGGTCAACAAGACCTTGAATGATATTTACCTGACGATATCGTCAATAGCTATTTGGTGTATATTATATTAAATGTGTGTATTAAAAGTTGATTTAACACAAAACAGTGAACATACAAAAATACATAGTAAAATAGCAATTACAAATTGATTAATAATGTGTTATTTTACGTGTTTCTCCAGATACGCCAATCCTCTTACACTTCCTCTCTTCCTTTATTTCATCCTTACCCCGTCCGATTTAAAGATACATTATTAGGAATCATTATTGTTAGAAAAGTGTAAACTTTAGATATTATTGTAGCTACATTAAAATGTTTGATGTAACATTAGCAGTAAGAGATGTAAGACATTATTACCTATTTTCATTTATACAAGCACAGGTTAATCTTTTCACGATGGACATTGATATGAAAATCTAAAATCTCAATCCTTGCACTAAAATTGCAACATTTAAATCCAACTTTTTAAATTGTCTTACAAAATAAACGTTGTTTAAACAAGAATTTGCAAGTTATAAAACAAAGGAATCCAGTTATATCTTAATTTAAACAAATATATACAAGCGTTTTGTTTCTTTGAGCTTGAAGATCCTACTTAGTTAAAAAGGCTGAACCGCGATTGTAAATAGTAATCATTGTAATTACATCGCATTCAATTATCGTATTCACTAGGTTATTGTAATTATTGTGAAGGCTACTAGCATTTTTTGGTATTTTGCGAATGAATTATGCTTAAAATAATGTACTAAAACTATTCAAGTTTGAAAAACTGCGAAGTGTTTGTTGAAAGTAAGTAAATGACATCGCCGGCAATTGTTAGGTTAGATTTACGTTACGCAAAAGATATCCAAAAATTTATTGTTTAAATCAAATTATTTAAAAGGAAAAAAAATCTAAATTTCCGTTAGCTTTTACAACATTCAATGCATTTGAACTCATAAAGTAATTAGGATCACCTTTTTATGTATAAATCCTTCGTTTGCGGTTTTCCAGTGGCAGAAAAAATGAACTGTTACTAACCATATAGAATTAAAGTGTTATGAATGTTTTGATAAATAAATAATTGTGCAACTACACTGTTCTCCTATACTTTAATATACGTAACTCTATTGATATGTCAATTATCATTTTAAGGCAGTGAAACAATACCGTTATAAAGGTATAATACCGCCGGTAAACTCTACTATACTATTGAAACATTCTGTGATAATGCAGCTGTCCACGTCCTCTCGCAGAAGACGGCACCGTGGAATTGTGACTTAATATCCTTAAGAAAGCCTTAGTAATTTTCCGTGACAAAATTAGCCGTAAGCAGTCGCCCTAGGGGTCGCAGCAGACATCCTTTCGCCATTCTAAAATCCGCGGCTCTACCCTTGACACTCTTCCGTCCGAATTATTACTGCAATGTCTACTAAATTTATATTACGATTTGTTAAGACTGTAGGGAACTGAGACAACGTTCTTATTTTTATTTCCTTATGGGTATGCCTTAATTCGTAAATTTCTCGTTATCAATTACTTATTTGAAAGAAATTGTAGTTATTAGATCTTACTGTTGATTGATCTGTGAACAAGATACCGGAGATTCTTTTAAAGTAATAAATAAATTTATAGGTATATGTTTGAACATTAACAAAATGATTAATTATTATTAAGAGTATCTTGCTTCAATAAAAAAATACGACGTTTTTTTTTCTAAACTAGGCTTTTATGTCCCTTCCTTTAATATTATTTATTATGTTTTAAAAGCAGTCATTTATTTTTTCGTTTTTACCTTCGTTACGTTAACATCATGGTAAACATGTTATGAGGCCTTATGGTTTACGTACACAGACACATCCAAAAACATGTACATATGTGACCCATTGTGAAAAAGTAGTTATTATGTCGTTAAGTAATGGGGATCGGAGTGGGCGCCCTTGATAAGGTCAACGAAGATGAGTTGCTTCAACCTTTTAGTGGTCACAATGTGAATTAAAATTATTCATTACGAACTTTCGTCCGCGACGCTGTCCGCTTATAATTAAAAAACAAAAAACAAAAGTAAGTAGCCTATATGTACTTACAGGCTATGCTCTACATATATGCTAAATTCCATCGAGATCCGTTCAGCAGTTTAGGCTACAAGCTCTAACAAACATCCTATCCATCTAAACTTTTGATTTATAACATAAGTATGATTAGTATGATTCTGTTCTTTGTTTGGAATCCTGATGTAGGTAGAATGTTAATAGAGAGAAGTTAAGATAAGGTTCTCTAACTTTGATGATGTTGGCAAAGGGAATTGGCAGTAATTATTATCTTACTAATATTATAAATGCGAAAGTTTAGATGGGCGGATAGATGGATAAATGTTTGTTAGAGTTTATAGCCTAAGCTGCTGAACGGTTCTTGATCAATTTTGGCATAGATGTAGAGGAAGGTCTTGAAGAACACATAGGTAACTACATTTTGATTTTATTTTTCATTTACGCGCGATTATTGATGGATTTATTTTAAATGGACCAGGCATAAAAAGGAAGAGATCCAAATTATCCTCTAGAATGTATAGCTTTACAAAGATTACGTCTAAGAGATTGAGCATTTTAAAGGTCATATTTCGTATAGTTGTGCGTGCATTGTGGTCAAGGCACTTCGCGTATCCATGTAATACCGAGGTACTTGCGCAATGACATTATTTGAGTAACGTGTCTTACAATTTTAGTCACCGATAATTACATTAGGATTCTGTTATATTTTCTTACCACTGATCACCAATGTGTCTTCTCTTTAACGTGGCTTTGCTTCTTATGACATAATGATAGTCTGAATGTTTTTTTTTCCATTATTCATAAAATAAATATTGTCGTACCAACGTCCACTTGGGATTTCCGAAGCAGACAAAAAATATTATTTTCAAGGCAAAATGTTTCGTACTCAGATAAGAGAACGGATTTATAGTTCGGTTTTTAATCCAAGTGTGTCCGTTTGGTTCCTGACTAGAGTAAGCATCAACATTAGTATAAACCTTTGTCTGCCCATTGCTGGACATAGGCTTTCCTCAATACCTTCCAGAGAATGCTGCCGTGAGCACTACGTTATTAATCCACCCGGAGAAAGGACGCCCCATTCTCCTGATCTCCATCCGTGGCTCCCATTCTAGGACTCACTTCCCCATCTGGCGATGCTAAATTGAATTGAAATGTTATGAACTTATGCATGACAATTGTAATTAAATTGACGAATAACTAATTAAACAGTTATACAAGAGCATCTTTTCGAAAACATGAAGACAATAAATGTCAGAAGCACATCAATTTCCTTATGAATGTAATTATTATTATCTATTTATTTATGTCTAACTCCTATAAAATAATCATCGAGGAGCAAAATGTAAATATGAATTTGTAGCGGATTTTATGGAAGCACATGCCGAAACGTTCTCTTGGAAACGGACTCGAATACGTTCGATCTTTGATGATCATGATTCATGCTTGTTGACGTTCGACTTAACATCTCAGTTTGACTAATAGATCGACGTAACAATAGGTTAAATTTTTTTTTATATTAATTACCAAGTATCGTTTAACAGATAAAATTATCAAGGAAATTAAAGCCAAATATGTTACGTTTACATAATTATAAATATTTACTGTTAGCGAAGTTTGTTTAGTCAAAGGATATTCCCTCAAGCATAGATGTTTGCTCACGTCGAGTTATCTCCTTGTTTACTGGAGTTCTTTGGAATTACCACCACTTATATATTTAACCGAGTACAATTTCGTGCACAATTGCTTCTATAAATAAAATGTGTATTGCAATTGTTTTATTAAGTATGTTTAAATATCTTGTTTTATAAAATGAGCTAATTTTGTATATATCATATAAGCTAGGCTGTCTGCATTATTTAACAGACACCATGTATGTTGTTTTGTCAATAGAGGCCGAAATAGAGGTACATCAATTCTTAGATTTGAAATTGAATCTAGGAACCGAAATAATAAAAATGAATAAACTCGTGGGTTATGGAGCCGTAATTAATCACCTGAAATTAATATCTTTTAACATATTTAAACACATTTGAAATAACAATATGTTGTTATTGTAAACGTGTTTAAATGTCTTTAATAGGTTTGCGTTTGTTTTTAGTATGTCCACAGAAATTATTTACCTTTTTATATATTACTGTTAATTTACATTAAAAAAAAACTTAACGTAATGTAAAATAATATATTAACATAGGTTAACTGATTAAAATTAATGTTAAATAGTGATTAACTCCTTTGAATAATCTTCAATGAAGGTCGAATTGAATAGAAATGAGAAATTATATTTACACATTTGTCTCAAAGTGTGATAAATCATTTATTTTATACTAGCTGTTGCCCGCGACTTCGTCCGCGTGATATTAGAAAATATACGAACTATATAAATAACAAAAAGCTACGTATCCCTCGGGAACCGGACATTTCTCGGGGATGAACCTTATCCCATGTGTACTCCAGACTTTGGTTTATATCTGTGCCTAATTTCAATAAGATATGTTGCACCGTTGCAGAATGATCGAGTTATCATTAAAGAACTAAATTAATGAATCCCACGGGAACTGTAACTATTCCCGGGATAAAAAGTAGCCTATGCGTTCTTCCAGACTATGCTCTAAACCTGTGCCAAATTTCATAGAGATCCGTTCAGCCGTTTAGGCTACAAACGCTAACAAACATCCTTCCATCCATCCATCTATCCATCCATCCATCCATCCATCCATCCATCCATCCATCCATCTAAACTTTCGCATTTATAATATTAGTTTTAAATATGTCTTGTTTAATATCTCTGTAATAAAAATTTATTAAGGTACAATTATTTAGATAAATCTGTTATAATTTTTCAATTGAAAAATGCTATTAAACGGTAGTTAATTACAGTGTTAGATAATTAAATAGTATTGTATTATCTGTGATTATGCGAACAGTTTGACCTTAATGGTAATGTAATTTGTCGTAGGGCGACATCAGAGTATGACGTTTGAATGACGAAGTGTTTTAGTATACAAATGCACCTTTTTGTTTGAATACAAAATAACATTAACTTATAATGGACCGAGGTGTTGGGTTCATGCTTCTTTTGTTGTGTGTTCGCACCGAAAACAAAATTGTACAAAACAGAATAAAGCATTTTTTGTTTGTTAGCCATTAGCAGTGCGCAGAAGGTTTGCCGATGAGAGCCGCACTAACACCGACCGATTACCACGCTCATCTCCTCAGTACTACCTGAGTACTCCAGTTAACACGTGACTGTTAATTATCATGAGAACTTCGACAAAGCTTTTGCACGAAGAATACGTGGTTACATTGCATGTAGAGTTTTTTCTTCTTTACGGAAGTTGATTGTCATTTTATTTTTAATCTTTTGATGGTAGCGTATGTGTTATTTAAAAAAAAACATGCTTACAACTGTTGAAATATAAGAAAAAAGATCACACGATTTCAAGAAAACGTATGCTTAAAAGATGGAGGTATAGCTGTATGTATAAGTATGCAAAGTACATCTATATCTATACTATTATAATAAAGCGTAATCACACACTACTTTGTGGCGTAGGATGTCAGCAATCACAGCATATTTATGAATAATTCTTTTTTAAATAAAAATCCCTACACTTGCGTCACGCTTTAGACTATATATTTTAACGCCATTAAACTTAGGAGGTAAATATTATGGATAAAAACCCTAATGCCGGAAAGAGACCATAAGTTGCTGCCAAAATCAAGGAAGCAAGATTGCCAAGGTCATGTCATGTCATGTCATTCTGACATTTGTAATTGATAATTTGACAAGTGTAAACAATAGAATAAAATTTTCATAATTTCACATGGATGAAGCCGCAAGGGAACAGCTAGTAATATAAGTTATTTACGTCACTAAAGAGTATCGTTACCGGCAATCAAATTAAATCAAAAGGAAAAGCAGTTTTGTGAGTGATCTACTAATACAAAATCCAATGTTACTCATGCTTTAGTTAAACTTATTACTTTAGTTCATGTGTTTGTATGCTCAACATAATAACCTATGAATCCTAAAATTTATTTCAGCAAACAAGAGATGACACTTTTTTGTCGGGATGGGTTGGTTACGGTATTAAATATTAAAAAATATAATTTCAACTGCATAAAGTTATTCATACACGTATTTTACATATATTTTTAATTGTTTGTTGTGAATTACCCACGATATGAAAAATTGATAAGAATCATTATTTATCCTCTGTGTAACCTAATGCAATAAAAGTTATGTTAATTCGTTTAAAAGTGACGTATCTGAGATTAAAAATAAATATGAAAGATTGTCAATTTTTAATAAAAAAATCGATTAGCAAAAAATATTAGAAAAAAATCAATATTATGTCGTTGAAGGCATCAAGCCTTTTAATATTGATTGTTATGGTTTTTATTATAAATTTTTACAAAAACACTTTTATAAAATGCAAACGATTACTAAAAAACTATGTATCGAAATTAAAAAATGCATTAGTGCACTTATTAGTATAAAAAACAAACGTAAATAAGTGTAAACAAAAATTTATTATGAATATAGCCTTAAGAAAATTTTATACAAATACAGTTTGTTTAATTTGAGTCTCTTGAAGTTGTTTCATTTTCGTATCGATTAAAAAGGTGCGCTGCTGCGGGTATTGACTCTGTAAATACCGCTCCTGGAAGCAGAAATATAATTGATGTTCACTCGACTTGATACTTCCTTTGAAGAGATTAATTAAAGGTTATCTCTTTTAAAGCTGTTTAGAATATTAAAGTAAACAAACTCATCAATTATTGTCGTTCCAAATAATGATGACTATACACCTCTATCGATTACTAATATAACTTAATCTATAAATGTTATCATATTTACCCTCGTTTTGAAAACTGGTGGTCGCCCATCGCGAGTGCATCTCCATTACATCTGTTCCAAGACAACTGTAGGAAATTAGAGCAACTATTTCCAGATAGCTCGTTGTCTTCGCGTAAAGTTGCCGCGAATAACTCCCAGGCGCGGATGTGACTGCAAGAGTTTGACAGGCCGCAGCCCGGCTGCTTGCTGCCACCGTTCGGGTAGAAGTCTACATCACCAATGGCATCCTTGAGGCCATTAGAGAAAAGTCCCTCACTATCGGTATGAATTACTTCAACGTATTCAGCGTCACTCTCAGATAAACGGCCCGAATTGGTGTCCCATTGGTTTCCGGATGGGTCCAGGCCTGTAAAAAAAGATACTCTGAATGAATTTGTTTATCGAATACTTGAGTAAAGTAGGCTGAGAGGCCCAATATAACAAAGTTTGTAATAATGACAAATAAGGAGAATGTTACCAGTGATTCTTGCAACTCGTCCTTGCAATCTCCTTCCAGCGAAGCCAGCGACGTGAGCACCCAAATTGAAACCTACTATATGTATTCTGCGTAGATCAACTCTGTTAGCGTCCAGCAACAAGCTGATTAGATCGCCAACGGCCGTGCCCACGCCGGGGACGTTTGTAACGCTTAGTTTATAATCCAAGCGAGCCACCGTCGACCAATCCACCACGATCACGTTAACATCAAAATTCTGTAGGTATGCTGAAATTTAAAAAAACAAAACAATTTTTAGTTCATAGAATGGGAAAATTTAATAGTTGGAAAATTAACAAGAGCTAAAATGGAGGCGTAAAATACATCCATTATTCAGTTTAGTAACTCTTATTGTATCAGGTTGATTTTTTAAAAAGTTTTCATTTATTTTGCAATTCACGGTTCAATAAACAATTTCTGAATTAAAATGTTGAACAATCTTACCGTTCTTGACTGTAGGGTTTAAAGAATTGAACGCCGTACTCTGGTGACCGTGTATTAACAGGACCGTGTCCCGGGATAACTCTACTCCTGATTGAGTGATGGTCGTGAGATCGTTCACGATTATTTCTTGTGGATTGTTAAAATTTCCCCTAAAAACAGATTAGTTATAGAAAACAATATTTTACTTTTAGTAATCTTATAATTAAATTACTTGTTAAGTGGTCAAAGTTTGCGTTTAACTTGAATTACAATTGCACTAATAATATAAATGCAAAATTTTAGATGCATGGATGGACAGATGTATGTTAGAGTAGCCTAAATTTTTGAACGGATCTGGATGAAATTTGGAATTAAGTAGAGCATAGTCTGGAAGCACACATGGGCTACTTGTTTGTTTTTTTTTTTTAATTTCAACAGAAGGAATCGGCCGAAAGTTATTTACTTTATAATGTAGAGTAATTATAAAGTGGCGTATTGTTGAATTAATTGATTTTATTTACCTAGTGTAAACAAAATAGCGGTTCGCGTTCCCGTTACGTTGCTCGGCCGCCGCTGCGGCGTACACTGAAATGTTCATCCATTTGAAGATATGTAAAATGATATTCATATGTTAGAAAGAAGAAATAAATTAATTTATTCTCTATTTTGTTTGTGATCACATCATGCACATAAATTCAATCTTGTAGACATTAATTATTTGTTATTCTTTATAAATATTGAAATAAAATTATCTTTAAACTTGAGAATACGCTCATGAATAGTTAGAATTTCTTTCTCCTGAACGCATCCTAGTTGAAAAATTATTGATTTCGGTTAATTTCTTTTAAAAAATACTTTATAATGTTGATTGATCAGAAATAAAAGAAATATTTCCTTACCGCATACTGCTAGTACCAGCACTTTAAACATCTTGTCACTTTCTGATCGTCTAGTTCGGATATGTTAGACTAATTGTCTTGAATCTTTTTATATGAATAATGAAAAACCACAATCAAAGTCATATCGATTAATTAGATAAAGAATGATCAAAGCGTAACAATAAAATAGCGGCGATTTTTTTCATGTAATGATTTTAATCGATCGACGATAAGATTGCAGGCGGTTTCCTTAAAAATTTTCACAAGAAATTAGTGAGTTAGATGACAATGACACAGTTAAGGAATAACTTTCGGTATTCATTGGAACAGACGTACAATAAAATATACAGTTGCAATAAAATGATTGACATCGATTGCATACTTTGTTCATAAAAATTGCAGATTACTTGGTAATTAGATATAACGGTACACCCCCGAGCTACATTGACTGAGAGATATATTTAGCGGGCAATATGTTTGTATGGAAATATGTAAGAAATTTGTTTTGCATGTATTTCATATTAAAATCCTGTAGCATGCATTATTTAACCAATTTTCAAGTATGATCTAAAACATATCTAAGCATCTCTCGAGTGTTATAAAGGGTTTTCAAATTAATAAATAATTCATTACATATTTTGACGGAGTAACAGATAAATAAACCGAAGTAATTAAACTGCATTTTCTCAACTGACCCTCTACATAATTTTATAACGCATGTTTACGTTTTAGAAGCTTTTATATAATAATATGTGCTTAAAACAAGGCTTTTAATACGGATGTTTGTTATTAGTTAATCCCTGCGCCGCAATTACGTAATATGGGTTTAGTATCGCTACATAAATAGGTCAGGGGGTTTAATCGGTGACGCATACTTGCGTTAAGAAATTTGGCAGGACATTCCTATAGCTCGTCCAAGCTGTATGTAACGAGGGCCAGTCACATGCTGACCTAGAATCACTTGGCAAAGGATCCGCATTGTCTCAGATTCGGGACCGCCGCGCTCGGCGGTGCCATAAGTGGCTGGCTTTACTATCCCAATATAAGATGATTATATAACCACTTGAAGCTACATATTCACTAACTTTAAGAAATAGAGAAATTTTTATCATACAAACTGCATAAACATCTATTTTTATACTAGAAGGTGACTAATGAGCAGGGTTTTAGTAATTTTTAAACTCACCGCTGTTCGGAGAAAAGCTAAAGAATTGCAAATGCCTTTTGTAATATTAGTAGATTTTTCTTAATTTACTAATATTTCCTTTAACCATTCCAACTAAGCTCTAGGCTTGTGCTAGAGTATGGTTTACGACAATAGTCGAATGGCGGGATTCGAACTTTCCACCGCAAGATCGGTAGCCCGTACCCCAAACCATTAGGCTATTGGCGCTTTAAAAGACAGAGAAGAGGATTTTCCTATCCGTCCTCTCCTCTATCAAACTCATATACCCTTCCCATCAACGGATGGAATTTATAATAATAAACAAGTAAAATCAGGTAATGGCCTGAAAGTATTTTTTTTTGTTACAAAAATCATGTAAAACAGCTCTTTTTACGTATTGGCTTAATAAAGATGTATTAAGATGAAGATCTATGACATCCATGTATGTAGTGCGCAGCGCATAAATATATTTTATCCCGAGCCTGGGACAACTTCTTGCGAAGGGAAAGATGTTGAATAAACTGGATGAGAAAAATGATATTTATGGTATAACTTTGAGATATATTTTACGTTTGGTAACACATCATGAAGAGTTATAAAACATACTTCTTGGATATAAAAATATATTTTTCATACTTCTTTAACGATACCGTTTAATAATCTAAGGACCCATCATCATATTAAAAGTTTTAACAAAACCTTGTACTGGGATGAAGAAGTAACTATAATATTTTTTTATTTTTTTACGGTGCTCCATTATTGACATTACTTAATCGTTATGTAGTTACAAGATTCGAAAATATAATACAAAGAAACTTATGTATGTACGTTCATTTAATACGTTCATATATGCCCCTGTAGAATTGGGTTCAAGCGAGTTAAATTTGAGCTTTATTTCATGACAAAGGGGTTAAACAGTACGGTCGAAAGGATATCGTACGGTTTCCAAAGAAGTTTTAAGTTACAAATGCGCTGCATGCTCCGGTGTTTAGATGACACAATAAAATAAATTAAAAAAAAGACTTTTGAATTTAGTACTAAACAGTCTTGAAGCAAGTTAGTGAATTTAAAAGATAAATGTTTAAAAGATAAATGTTTAAGACAACAATGAGAATTTTATATCATTTAGTAAAATAAATCTAGACTTAAATTACTTATTCTTAAGGATTGCCTAACTGTAGTGGCATTTATTATCTGTCACCATTAAAATCATAAAGTCCAAGTTTAAATTCGTTTGATTCTGGGGTCAACATCGCGCATGCGTGTCATAGGTCGGCCGCCACTTACACCGAATGGCCTGTAGTTCCACATTCGTACCGGGACCCGCGAGTCGCATCGAGCGCCCCTCTCGCACACATCGGAAAACTTTGTCAGCCTTCAGGAAGCGGGCATTTCAAATTTCGCTACTTCAGAACTCTTTAGTTGTGGTTACATGTCGTCTTATGTGTAAAACATCGTGTATTATTGCCGAAATGAGGTGGGCAGCGGTTATAGTATTGTTCAGCTTAGTTTTTTCAGGTAAGTTTAGTAGTTTATTTGAAAAAAATAATGAAGAAGAAAATCTTCATTAACGTTTGAAAATACTTTAATCCAGCTCAAAATAAAAAAATCAAGTTCCGGGTATAAATTTATGACTCATGTACCTAACCGTTTAAGTTATTGCGTAGTTATTTTATCAGTTAGTAATGTAATGACTATTGTTTTTAAATACGATACGCCTGATTATCTCTAGTTTATTGCTCATCAAAATACATTTAAATTAAATCGATAATAGTATAGAAAATAGATTTATATTCATAGCAAATAGCAACATGTTATCTATTTTATTTACGGCTAATCATAATGATACATGTTATGAAAACGTTGTATTGTTATTTTTAACAATAACGAAAAATAACATTATTTATTGTCATAAGAATATGATAGAAAAGAATAAGTTTAGACAGGTTAATTCGAACAAATAATTGGGTAAGTAAAATTTAATTTAAGTTTCAAGATCGTTTAGTCCTCGTACACTTAAGTCTATAATGAAATAATTGTTAAGAAAAAAAATCACAAACCAAAAAACCTAAATACCTACCTACTACTACTACCTACCAGCACGTCATCGTTGAAACAAGAAAAAAATCTAATGCATTGGTCATACGTTTAATTGGTGGGTCAGTCCGTGTGTCAATTATAGTTCATTCAACTAAACGAGGTTACGCATCAATATCGTTGATAATAACGAAAATTACTCGACCTTCCTGTTTCAAGGACCAAACCCTGAATAAATAATCCGTATGTAATTCAAACAATTACATTTAATAGGTTTAATAGACTACATTACAAAGAGAATACTGAATAGCTGTGTTTAGGTGCGGTCTATAAGATGGACCTAATTTAAATTGTTCGTTTTGTAGTCTTCTTTAGAGTCTCATAATACTAATGCATTTTATTTATACTTATGTATATGTATATTTGGGAAGAAAAAGACCTAATAGTTTTTAATCCAACTGATGTGCTAATTAACTTAAAATAATGAAGTATTTTTTACCTTTTTATTATGATTCTGTATTATCGCAATTTATAAAATATTACATAACACCTTGCCTTACTAATTCATGCTGCGTATGTTTGTTCTGTTGACCACATATGTAACAAGAATGTGGGCGCGGTGCACAGGGCGGGAAGCCAAGCCCTAAGGACAATAACCGCTTGAACCTATCACTTATATAAGGCTCATAATTCATTTCAAGGTCATAAGTCATACTAAGGTCATAGATAAAACATCAAATCACGCCCCTTTATTTGCCTAACTCCGCAATCTTGACTTTTTCGAATCGAATTTTCGCTATAGTACGTACTTAGTATAGAAAGGTTGAAAGAAATGAGAAACGGCAGCGAAAATTAAATTAATGTTTTCCTTTAGGATTATTTTATGCGAAATTGATTAAAACACTCCAATGTAAATAATTTTATCCATTTTCTGTAGGAAGTCGCGAGTGTTAGCTAGTTATTTGAAATAAAAGTGAAAGCAATAAACTAAGTGAAGTATTCCAATTGGTGCAATAACGTAGGAAATTGGACGATTTGTTAAAGTGAATCCTAAAGATTATCTTCAGATGTACATATTGATCAGACATCTGAAAAACTACTTCTCGCTAGGAATATGCGATTAGATCGTTATTTAAACACAAAAGAACTAGTTTAGCTATTGGTTTTTGGAGGGCTGATAACGCAATAGTAAAACAATATAAAAATGTCCATAAAATGTACATAAAGTTGCATTATAGAGGCGAAATTCAGAATAAACGCAAGTATTGTGAGCTCGTTGATGACATTAATTTATGGAATGGTTCGTATTGCCGCTGGATGGTCTCAAATTAAATTCATTTCAATGGCGTCCGGCTAATTGATGACGTTTGTCGCGCGAGCACCGCCTAATGGACATATGTGCCATTCAACTTTGTTTATAGATACTAACTGAAATACAATAATAACTTACTAATAGTTAATTTATTATGGAAGACAGGTATAATACAATTAACTCGTTAAACGCGATAATGACGGTGGCGGCTCTTAGGTAAAAATATTGAGCAGGGAATTTGCATGCTTTCATTTGTCGCAAGAGCGATCAAAAACCGAAGCGAAGATGAAAGACATCAAAACGAGGCAAAAACAGAACAAAAAGTGTGCTAAAAGGTGACAAAATTGGGTTCGTTTTGCATCCAGTTCGCTATCACGGCAGTTTGCTATAGACGTAAATAACTAAATAGTACGAAGTTCCATTGTACCTTAGTCTTACATAGTTAAATCAAGGCTTCACTAAAATCTATGAAAACGCCTAATACTTGTTCTAATAATAACCGAGATATACTTCATTAAATTGTTAACGTAGATTTATCCTACATACCCTTCCAAATAAATTTGTGATCTTGTAAATATTTAGTAAAAGCGTTGAAACAGTGCGGTAGCTGGCTAAATATAGCTTGAGGTTACAGCGCCTCAGGCCGGGTATAACATACTAAATAAATGTCAGGTTTTCAAAACTAAAATAGCGTTCATTCTAATACGAAAAAAAAAACATGTGACTTGCATTTTAGAACGTTACATTTTATTTATTTGTATAGCGTACATTTTTAAAACTAAGAACCAATTATCCATGTGAGGAAAACGATAGGGACAGCTGTAAATTGTGTATTACAAAGAACCCTCCTTCCTCCTTTACGCAGAATATCTAAAAATAAAAGTTCCAAATATAACTGTATCATTAATGTACATATCAGATATTTCACCCTTATTATATAAACGGATATAAATACCGAGTTCGATAAATAAGGAACAGAGTGAGTCATGATTGGTAAACTTTGATATTAACATTTGATTGATGTAATCTTTGAAATAGGTACAGTTTCTGTTGGCTCATTGCCAATTCTTCACGAGATCCCTTAGTATTGATATACTATACAAAATATAACAAAGTAACCTAGAACTAAGAAATAATAAGTAGATTGACGTAAACGACGTTAAGGACACAACCAAACAAAGCAGATTGGGCGAGAATCTCAATTACTTACATCTGTATCTCATTCTTCAAAATCAGCCAAGTATCGTTAATAATACATAGGCATCAGCCTATAACCATGGACCGTACTCTTACTAATATTATAAATGCGAATGTTTAGATTGATGGATGTTTATTAGAGTTTGTAGCCTAAACGGATGAACGGATCTCAATGAAATTTGGCATAAATGTAGAGGATAGTCTGAAAAAACTAATAGGCTACTTACTTTTGCTTATTTTAATTCCACGCGAACGCTACTTTTTTAGATAGATTTATTATTTTAACTCTATGGAATTTTAATATGAGGTATTTTTATCGTACAACATCAAAATTGCTTATCAAATAATATATTTTTGTTATCAAAATTGTCAAAAAAAAATCACGTTTTTAAACTGATGTCAAAAGCTGCACGTGTCGAAAGTCGAAGTTTAATTAAATTTTTTGTTCAGTTGTTTATCGCTAAAACGAGCTCAAAGCAAAATTTCACTCATCGCTATTTGAAACGTTTTAAATGTTCATGGGCAGATTCATTTAACAGCTATTATAAACGGCTATCGCGCGACTGATACTTTTCCGTTTTGTCAGAGTTCAAAGCGTTATTAATTTTTCGATAAATTAAGAGATGTTAAAGAAGAGTCTATTGTTTCGATGTAAAATGAATGTTTCAACGATTGTTTATGTATTTTTTTTTTAATAAATACATTAACACCAAATATAAGAACTGAAATTTACTTCAAGCTTTCAAGAGTCGACGACACCCATTAAAATTAAACTACATATAAGTAATGTTAGTAAATTAACTTTAATAATCATAGTTGTTTTAAAAATAATCGAAGTTACATAAGTTACGTTTAAGATCAATAGTGGGCAAGTTTAAATTTCTAAGCGTAAAATTCCTTCCTATAAACATCCATGTCTAAACAAATAGATAAGTACTACGAGCGACAAAGTCTAGCGTTCTAATTAGAGCTTGTTGAGAAAAAACCTTCTTGCTAATTAATTATTAACAACGACAGTTGTTGGAGCAGATTTTTTGGACTTTTTGTAATTTGTGGAATTAACGCCCGTACTATTTTTAGAAAAATAAAAACTGTGTTGTTTATATTTTCCATGAGAAGAAGGATATTGTTTTGAAGATTAAAAATAAAGACAATAAAAATTATCTAAGTGGGACTCTCTTTATAAACTGAAAAGTATCATGCAATATTTAGCAACGCAGTAAAAAAGTAGCACATGAAATAATGAAACTAGGCATGCAATTAAACATTGTCATAAAGTCTGTCATAGTATTTGTCGTATATTAGGAAAGTTTGCGAGGTTTCATGGGAATAGGTGGTGCGGCGTATGGGGCGGAGGCGGGGTGTGGCTCAGTTACAGCGAGTGAGGCCCCGGAGGCAATAACCTGCTTAATCTAAAGGGCAATATTAACACCAAACTGGCCGTTTTTACGTAATTATGACAACAAAAATAGCTAAACAATTATCTCATACTTAATTCTGATAATTCTAATACGGAATATTTTTAATTCAATTTGGTTAGTGAATTATAAAAGCATGTATTTATGGTAAAATAGACGACACATACTTATTTTTATTTCTATAAATAAAGCATCTGCAGATAGTAAATTAAATCAATTAACAAATATAGTAGGTTTTTTTATATAACATACACTTTTCTATTTTTGATATAAATGAAAATTTACATTTGTCCTAACTTCGTAATTTTACTCGGTGAAAGTGAGATATACGAAACTCGCGGGATATTTCCCTCAACACTCTGCTAAAGTGGAAAATTGTTGAATAATGAAACGAAATAGAATTAAAGAATAATGCCTTTAGAGCTAATATTTTCTGTGACAATTTTTGTCATATTTCTTACGGAATAATGTCAGTATCATGTAAAATATAAAAGTAATGTTTGTTACAAAAGCTTCGTGTCATATCGTCTTATTGTTTGAAATAAAAAAAATAA